TTCTATCACTCAGAAATCACGTGAATTCAAACAGTAACTGTAACCCTAAAAATATGTTCTATATATGCAAATTTTGAGAATCAACTTTTGGAAGTTTGGCGGGGGGGTTGGGGGGTGGGTAGCGTCTGGGGGGGCGGGGGTCTAGCGCTTGGAACCCCCAATGTCCATACCATGGTTACGCCCTTGAATCTAAAGACGAGATATACATGATCAGTTACAGTATGCAGTGAAGTAGAAGCTCATACTGAAATTCTGAGAAGCTTAAAAGAAGCCAAAGTGTTTATAACATAAAATCCCACGCCATCCGCATGTCATTAAAATCAGAAAAGAGCAAACAACCTTGTGTGCCTAGTCAGGATTTTTTTATTACCATGAAAAATAATTGCACACTTTTATTGAGTGGTGCCAGTTCCTAGAAATATTATACTACGATTAAAAAAAAAAAACAATAGAGAACATAACAGCAAGTAATAAAAATGCAACAAACAGTATTTGGGGTTAGAAATGAAGCCAGCAAAAAAATAAAAAATAAAAATTATATGAATGATATGCATGTTGATGGTGATATTAAAAGGGATCTTGATACTTAAGTATAAACAGTACAAGCTGGGATTAATTACTAAAATGCCAGTGAAAACTATGTTTTGTTTTACGGAATATGAATGCCAGTGCTAGCGGTGCTATAATAAGATTTTTCTCTAAATGTTCATACAGTTGATGTAGTAATTATTGGAGTCATATTTCTATCAATTTTATCCAGATTATGTTCCCAGCTTTAAAAAAAATTAAATAAATAATAATAATAATAAAAAGCTATATGTCATAGCACAAAAGCATGTCCTTCCAAAAATGCTAAATAAACATCTCCTTACAGTATCTTCACTGTATCAACAATTACACATTTTTAATGTTAATTTGGAGCATCCACCATACAAATCCCTGTAAATGAGAAAATAAATGAGAGCATTCATATAAATCTGTGATTTGCATTACAGCAGGCACCATGATCAGATCTGCTGTTCTAGAAAATTCATCAACACCTTCTGTCCAATCAGAATTGAGAATTCAACAGCGCTGTGGTATGTGATTCTTTAACGAACCAATGGTTCGACATGGCAGAAAAAGTGGCCTGCTATTGATACGGTGTTAATTGTTATTATTTTGTTTAAATATCTTTTTTTTTTCATTTTGAACTACCATTCAGAAGCTACATAAGATATTGACATGTTTCCCAGAAGTAAAAAAAAAAACCCCAAAAACAAACAATTTACACCAATCCTAACATTCAAAAGTTTACACCCCCCTGGCTCTTAATGTAGTGTGCATATATATATATATATATATATATATATATATATATAATATATGTGTGTGTGTGTGTGTGTGTGTGTGTGTGTGTGTGTGTGTGTGTGTACCCTGTCCAGGGTGTACCCCGCCTTGTGCCGATGCTCTCTGGGATAGGCTCCAGGTTCCCTGTGACCCTGAAAAGGAGTATGGATGGATGGATAGATGGATATATTTGTGTGTGTGTGTGATCCTTCAATTTTATTTATTTATTTTTTTAAAGGGAGTCTCTGGCGTCTGGCAACTTGTATCACTCTGAGGTAAAGCTTTCAGATGCTGGTTCACGGGACATAAGACTTTGTGGTGCTTTTAACTTCCAAACAGAATGAAAACAGAGAGGCTGGTAAGAGAATGACTGCTTATTGCTACTATAGTATAAATTATACCAGAAGTAACTTATATTAAGGGCATTCCACAACATTAAATGTACAGTTGAAGTCAAAAGTTTACATATGCCTTGCAGAATCTGCTAAATGAAAAACTGTACCGATCGTCCATTCAAAAGTTTACGCCCCCCTGGCTCTTAATCCTATATCGAGTTGCCTTCTTGAGCATCAGTGAACGTTTGCACCTTTTGTAATAAATGTGTACGAGTCCCTCAGTCGTCCTTGGTGTAAAAAGGTGGATCTCGACATCATATAGCCGCTGTTAAAAGGAAAGGAGTCAGATATGCAGAAGATGCTGGAAAAGTAAAGAATGTGCAGGACCTGGAGGATTTATCTGAAGATCAGTGGGCAGTTTAACTGCTCAGGACAAACAGGGGACTTAAGAAAAACTCTCACAAAACATAAACAAATCCAGGTAACGACACACGGGATTAAGAATCGAGTGTGTGTAAACTTTTGAACTGGTTCATTTGTGTAAATTCGGTTATTATCGTGTCTTGTGGACTACAGTATATGTAAACATCTGTTGTGTAAAATAGATTATTAAGGGGAGCGCTAAATCAACAACTAAAAACAATTTTTATGATCTCTCTTTTCTTTTAATTATTAATATTTTGCAGATTCTGCAAGGCGTATGTAACCTTATTCCCACAACTATAACTATAAATGGATAAAAAGTACAACATGCCAGTCTTTACTTAAAGAACCATTTTCTGAACTGCAAAAAAACCAAAAAAACACCGTAAGCCCTCAAATTTTTCTTTTAATTGCCATGGTTTTATATGTGATTATTGTCTTTACTAAAGAACCTCAAAAGAACTTTAGAAACGTATAAATTTATACAGTAGTCTGTTTAAGTAGCTCTGTTTAAGAAATCTCTCTTCTTGCCACTTTCCTGTAAAGTCTGCGAGAATAAAAGCAGGTGAGGAGACACAATGAATCATTTGATCTTAGCGAATGACTCATTATCAAACTGTAGCAACGGAAAGAATAAAGCTCGATCCGAATTCACCTGCATAAAATTTCATCACACGATTATTAATGTAAAGACGAGATATACATGATCAGTTACAGTATGCAGTGAAGTAGAAGCTCGTACTGAAATTCTGAGAAGCTTAAAAGAAGCCAAAGTGTTTATAACGTAAAATTTCATTATCACCCTTCATTTCCCTTTCAGTGTCTTTATGCTCTGTGTTGTTATGAGGCAACATCCATGGAAAACAACTCTGTCACAGTCAGACACCCGACTGTCCTCAATGGCGTAAAAGGTCTTCAAAATTCACTCAAGCGTGACTTTCCCGCAGGGGGGCAAATGTCCTAGCTCTGAATGAGATCATTAAAATAATCAAATTACAGCAGGAGAAGCAGCAGAAAGCAGGGGGAATTACCAAATTTGATCTAATACGGCCTTTACACTGCCGAAGGATGGAAGGAAGCATTTGGGTTTTAACATTGCCAAGCGAGCACAAAGTAATAGTGACAAGTATATTCAAGATTTCTGGTCACTGAGTTTAGCATAACATATTTAGAGCATCCTGATTTCATGTGTTTTGCAAAATCTCATTTACTTGAAAATGATGATAATTAAATATATTACTTTTCACTTCTTTTTTTTAATATATATAATAAAGTCCTTTGAGGCAGGTAGTTATCACCAACCATAATTAGTACATTCTATCATCTAATGATGTTTATTGTTCTTTAAAAATCCTGTTTTTCAATTCTTCAGGTAGGCTGAAAATGAAATCGAATTTCCCCAGCGTCCTTGACGCGTTCGCCAGCGTCACCTCAGGAAATGTGTTCATTTACACTGATAATCATACTACTTATCAAAAGCCAGGCAATTAATTATGCTAAATGCAAATGTTTTTCATTAGATCTGTTAAATTACGAACACACCATTAGTTACATGGAGCTCTGTGGAGATTACAGATGATTTGATTTTCATTAATGAATCTGATCTTGCCGTTTTTTCAACTCTTTTTTACATTAATTGGATTACGATGACAGCTTGTGTTAATGTTACTGCAAAAAAAAACCCAACTTTTTCTAGTCCTCCTTAAAAATGAAGAGTACATTTAACAATATAAATTCTCAAAAAGTCATAACGGATATGAAAATCAATGTAACACAAGGGAAATTTGTGCACCTGCCTATTTTAGATCTTTTTTTAATCAAGCAAATTGCTGGAATGTGACGTGTAGAAGATCTGTGCAGACAGTCCGAGAGATCTAGAGCATCAGACAGTCACGTTCTCACTGATCAACCATGTTCATTACGCAAAACCATCACTCATGAACTGACCTAATTATAGAAACCAGCAGGAGAAATGAACAGATATCCAATACAAACGTATGCTAGAGTATAATCTTTGTTCAAATCACCTGTTATATCTTAAAGTTCCTCAGGTCTGAATAGACCCTTTAAATATAACTCTTCTGTTACTTGGAACACGTCCAACAGATTCTGTGTTTTATCCCATGTTAAACTGTTGTTGTGATACTTGATTGTGTTGTTCTGTGTTTTGATTTTGGATATATAAAAATTTGTATATTTATGTTGTTTGTCACCGCCCTCTTTGTGATTTTTTTACTTTTGTAAAAGAGATTTGTAATCTCAATGAGTTTAACCTGATTAAATAAAGAAAATGAACAGAGGAAGGACTCGGGTACAATATGGCTGCCATTTTGGAGGGAAAAGTGAGAACAAAAGTGAGAGTTTTATTCTTCGCCAGCGACACCAAGATGTCGGTGTCATCATTTTGTGGCTCTTGTCAATTTGCCCCAAAGTTTCAGCAGACGTTGTTAGACACATTAATCATTACAGGGCCTAATGAATACTCCAAGGTCCTTCTGTTATTTAGCAGGTTCGCACCTGGCAGGGGTCACCTTGAAGAGCATGAGAACTGGAGAGACACACCCAAAAACATACATTACACCGTTAGGTTACGTAGGTTAATGTCTAGAATGGGGGGATTTTATTTAAATGGCACACTTATATAGCGCTTTTATCCAAAACGCTTTACACTGTGTCTCATTCACCCATGGTAACAGAGCTGCCATGCAAGGTGCTGACTTGCCATTGTGAGCAACTCGGGGTTCAGTGTCTTGCCCAAGGACACTTCAGTATTTAAAGTCATGTGGGCCGAGAATCGAACCGCCAACCCTACGATTAATGAACAACCTGCTCTACCACCTGAGCCACAGCCGCCCCGAAATATATTTATTTATTTGTTTATTTTTTTAAGTGACTACAAGTGGTGACCTTGAGGGTATAGTGGCTTAGTGGTATAGTGCCTCACACCTACCGGGGTTGGGGGTTCGAATCCAGACTTCACCCTGTGTGTACAGAGCTTGCATGTTCTCACCGTACTCCAGTTTCCTCCCCCAGCCAAAAAGATATGTGCTGTAGGCTGATTAGCATTTGCAAATTGTCTGTAGTGTGTGAATGGGTGTGTGAGTGTGCCCTGTGATGAGTTGGCACCCTGCCCAGGGTGTCCCCCTCTTCGTGCCCTGAGTGCTCTTCGAGGCTCTTCATGCTCTTCGAGGCTCCAGGCTCTCCCGTGACCTTGTGTATGGATGGATGGATGAACTGTCTTCTACCGTATAATGCATATTAAGTATTTCCACTTTACACTGGATTTCATATTTTTTTTTATATCTATATCTGGAGTCATACTTTACAAATTTCCAATGTCTCAACAAAAATTGATTTGTGAAGAAGCTGGTGTTTGAATTTCCCTGTAAGCAAGTATCCCTGATTAGTGCTAGAAAGAGCATTTATTATTCACCAAGATGGATTTCAACTGTCATCGAAACACGAATTCCAATAAAAGTTGTGATTAACTTATTATTATTATTATTTTTATTTTTTTTATTACATTTGCTCATTTTGCAGCCACTTCTATCCAAAGTGATGTACAGCTGAACACTTGAAGGTTAAGAGCCTTGCTTAAGGGTCCTACTGAACTCGCAACTTTCTAATCATTAGCCCTTAAAGTCTTAACCACTAAGCCCCCGCTAAGAACACTTTCTGTAGCATTTGCTGATATTCTCCTCACATTCAAATAAAATATCTCACCAGAAGAGTAAATCCCTTTCAACCATGCAGTTTAAGTGACCATTGAGGGTTCTTTACAGGTTCTTTGGGTGCTTAATGGTGTAGTTTGTGAGCCACCATCCATTGTTTGAATGAAAGTCTTCAACTTTTCAATTTGCACTGTTACATATTATGAGAACACATGGCATGAACCCAGGACATTCTTGAAACACTTGAAAAAATAGAAATTACGAAGACAGCTGTCCATCTGTTGTTAAGTGTATGTGTGTTTTTAATATTATGCTAATAAATTCATTTTCAAGATATTGACAGATATTAGATGGGAGCTTGAAATCTAAGACCACCACCAATCATCACTGATTGGTTTGACATTATCCGTAGGCATTTAGATAATTACTCAGTATCTAAATTAGGTTTGTACAGTATTGATTTTTCCCTGCTTGCAACTGACCAATTTTAAAATAAAAAACACTAACAGATTTAATCCTCAGGAAACCACTATCCTAGCAAAAGACACGAACATTTCCATCACTTCGATTTAAGTTGAGTTGAGGACGACATAATAATATTACCAGGTGTACAGTCAGGAACTGCTTGCTGGCAGCCGCAATTGCGGAAACTCTTCAAACTAGATGGTGGATTTTTTTTTGTTTTGTTTTTCGTGATTCTGCAGTGAAGAGTAAAAGAACCCCCCAAAAACAAAACCGTATATTACTCTAGAAGTCAATATAATCCTTTTACAAATGGGTTGTCTAGTATCCACATGGCTGGCATTTTCACCTGATATGTTTGAACTCGTCTGAGCACTGACCGGAACCGGAGAGAAAAACAATCTCTGTGTTTAATTAATTTCTAGTTATCGTCATTATTTACATTATTTGTAAAGTCTTCGATTTGACACTTCATTTTAAACCTACAGTATGTAATCTCCTTACAGCAAAATCTTTGTCTGTTTTTTTCCCTTCGACCAAAAAAACCCCCCAAAAGCTGATTTTTCTGACCAAATATATCCCTCGTACATATAGTTGATTGGGGTTAAATGTATACTAATGTTGACTAAGTCAAACATAAAGGATTTTCAGGCAGTGTCAGTTAATATAAGAACTCATTTCAGATTTAAATGTCGATAGGCTCATTGCATGGTTTATTGTACAGAAAAAATCATAACTCGTACTCTAGCGTACTCTAATGTTAAATTGCAGAGCTGGCAAAAAAAAATAAAAAATAAAAAATAAATAATAAAATCGAATGGAAATAAGCGTCATAATATAATGTATAATGCTGTGTAGGGATGATAAAACCGAATAAGCCTAACCTAAATGCTTTAATTCAGGAAGTGGGGTGCCGGAAACCAGAAACCACTCGTCCCTGAACTGAACGTTCTGATAAAAGGAGAGAAAAGAGGCAGAGAGCATGAAAGCTGTGATCAGTGGCTCACAGGGCATGTAGGACAGCAGAACAAAGATGCTCTACATCAGTTTGAGACAGGTAGTAGAAGGGGACAGGACAGGAAGTTCACATTTAGCCTTGTGATGAAGCTGCATTGAGAGGCAAAACCAGGTGCATTTTTCACTGTCTTGACTAAAAGTCCTGAGTTTAAAAAGTGTGCTGACTTATAGTTTAAAACATTACATTATGGTTGAATTCAGAGAACTCTTCTGAGAAGAGTCTAGGTGTGTGTGTGTGTGTGTGTGCTTGGTTTGAAACACCAGGAGGTATTCTATAATGAGCAGGGTGGTGGATCCATCACCGTCTCCTGCAGACGAAGGCAGCACAGGAAGCGGATTCTTTATGACACTGCTGCCATTATCACAGCTAACACGCTTTTCCTACTGATTCCTCTGCGCGAGCATGTAGACGCATTCATCTTTCCTCCTTTTTTCTCCAGCAGCAACACAAATACAAGGAGCAAGGGCAATGAACTTCTCTGTAATTTCATAACCGTCTGGAGAGACATTATGCTAATAATCTGCAGCCTCCGGCATCTGTATAAGCATTTTAGCTCGACACAGTATTAAAGGGAAGTCCTCGCAAAAAAAACCAAAAAAAACAATAGCAGGTGAGCGAGAAGCAGATAAGAGCCATTTGATATAATTTGCTAAACTGCTTTGCGCTAGCTGCGGTGTCTAATCACACTTATTTGACCATTTTGGTTATATAATGAGATAACAATCATAATGCTACATGGAAAATACACATAAGCACATACAAATACACAGATGCATGTAATACCTGTGGGATTTTATGGTCTCACATACATTCATACATACACACACACACACACACACACACACACACACACACATATATATATATATATATATATATATATGCACACACACACACACACACCTATGCTCACGCGCATACTGCTGAGAGCACTGTAGGGAAGAGGCAGGAGCCGTTGTGCTCCACTAAGTGGAAAACTCGATCTTCTTACCTCAGCAACTTCTTACAGGGAAGCTTAGTGGAAGGACATATGTGTTTGAGAGAGACAGTGAGAGAGAGAGAGAGAGAGAGAGATGGGGGTTCTAGTTCTTGTTCTAGAGCAGCATAGTGAGCAGCACTGTTACACTGAAATCATTATTCTCATTCTGAAGTGAAAGAAATTTGATTAATCTGGTATCAGATACATTAGATACATAGCTACCGTACATGTTAAATAAAAATCATTTCACACTGGCAAACACAGCAAGATGAAGTATATTAACAACTGGATGTTGTACTAAAACTGCTGGAAAGATTATGTGTGAAATGCTGGAGGCTTTTTTTTTTGCACTTGGTTGCAGCCTGCTCTACTGTATGTATGTTTTAAATTGGATTCAAATGAGGCTGAGGCTCTGGGCCGATGTTGTGAGGTAAAGTTTTTCATATTATTTCAGTTTGTACTGAATATCTATTATTACAGATCACATTACCTATATAGCAGTATAGCAGTGATTCCAGAAGGTATAGCCAGGGGGTCCATGGAAATCACAACTCACCTTTATCAAAGTTATTATATGTACTATTGACCTCTATAGGTGTTAGTCAAAATGATTGGCCACTTTGAATTGAATGGATTTTAATCAATATCTCAATAATTTTAAAAAATGTAGCATATAACGCACTGGGGAAGTCTCTACAAGCTTTACATTCCTGGGCAATTTCTCCCATACTGTCTCAATCAGATCAATCAGATTACAACCCCAATGCTGAAAAAGTTGGGACAGTATGGAAAATGCTAATATAAAGAAAGAGGAGTGATTTGTAAATGTAGTTTGACTTGTATTTAAAAAAAAAAAAAAAAAGTATAAAGACAAGGTATTTGATGTTTTACCTAATTAACTGCATAGTTTTTTGAAGATAAACATTTATTTTGAAAACGATGCATGCAACACATTCCAAAAAGTTGGGACAGGGACAATTTAGGACTAATAGTGATGTGACAAGTTAAAATAAGAAGGTGATGTGAAACAGGTGAGGCGATCATCTAATCATAGCATATAAGGAGCCTCCAAAAAAGGCCTAGTCCTTCAAGAGCAAGGATGGGTCGAGATTCGCCAATCTGCCAACAGATGCATCAGCAAATAATCTGACACTTTGACAACAACATTCCCCCAAAACAAATAAGTAGGATTTGGGGCATTTCACCTTATACAGTGCACAATAGAATTAAAAGATTCAAGGAATCCGATCAACTCTTGATGTGTAAAGGTCAAGGCCAAAAACCACTTCTGAATTTATGCGATCTCCGATCCTTCAGACGTCATTGTGTTAAAAACCATCACTGTCTGTAATGGATATCCTGACATGGGCTCGGGAATACTTTGGTAAACCTTTGTCAGTCAACACCATTCGCCGCTACATCCACAGATGCAAGTTAAGGCTTTACGCTACAAAGCAGAAGCCATACAACAACACTGTCCAGGAGCACCGCAGACTTCTTTGGGCTCGGTCTCATCTGAGATGGACAGTAGCACGGTGGAATTGTGTTTTCTGGTCCAACAAGACGACATTTCAAATAGTTTTTGGACAAAACAGCCGTCATGTTCTCCGGGCCAAAGAGGAAAATGACCATCCAAGCTGTAATCAGCGTCAGGTCTGAAATCCAGCATCTGTCATGGTATGGGGGTGTGTCAGTGCCCATGGCATGGCTAACTAGCACATCTGTGGGGGCATCATTAATGCATTAATACACATTTTGGAGCAACATATGCTGCCATCCAGAGAAGGACAACGCCAAACCACATTCTGCACGGATTACAAGCGCTTGGTTGTGTAAGCAGAGAGTGCAGGTT